GTATGTGGTTATTGTTCGGGACGAACGAATACTAAGGAGGGGGCAGTGTTGCGTCATCGAGTCACATGACTACTGTGACGCAACGTTTCTAGAACTATCATGTACTTTGGCTAATGCTCTAGTGTTTGCTAGATGGGGTAGGCGGGTATATATGAGAGGGGAAAACGTGACGCGGGAGATGATGGTAATGTGTGTATAGACAGTATGTAATTGATCTGCAGTCAGAAGTATTATTGACGTTCGTTGATATAGCGTTTGTTTTAGCGCGATTGTTGAAGTTGAGTGTATCGGTAAAATTATATTCGGAAATAATAAACCAGTTTTATTAAGTAAAGACTTGTGTTGCTTAAGTTTCGTCGGAACAAAGTTACGGAAAAATCAATTAACAAACGGAGACGTAACAATATTAAAGTTATGTCTTCTATGATATAACTAGGAAGTCAAAAGATGACTACATTATTCACATGACAATGTGTAATCTTAACAGCAGCATACACAAACAGCGACTAAAAACTTACTAACAATTATTTAAATAAAAGAAGTTGTCTGATGCTGTCATCAATAAATCTTCAAGAGACCCACCAACCTAACATTGAAAATGGGTGTTACACTAGAAATACGCTCTATTACACACTAAATGACGAGTATTTGGCGAGAAAACAACATATCAGGAATGATTAGTCTGGGCACTAAGTAAACACACGCATCTTATTTCCGAATCTACACCAACCTCCTTTTTTATCACCCGTCAACTGTAAAAACACGAAATAAACTGAATGTTAATGTTTAGTGAGGTACAAATACTTAATTCAAAGATACAATAACAGCATGTTTTACAGAAAGTAAGGTCTTATTTTAATGCAACTCTTACCCGGTAATGACTTGATAGTAAGGATCAATTTATTGTTGTTACTGAAATCGGAATTTGTCTTCTGTAAAAGTTGCTCTTATTGTATTTCTGAATTTCAGTGAATGACAGTTTATTTAATGATTACATATATATATATTACAGATTTCTTTTCATTCTCACCAAAGGTAACAATCAAAAACAGACTTAGAGGCCTAATGCTAATACGTTTGGCGAGAATGAAAAGGATTTTATAACATATATTCATAATCATTAAATACGTGGTTCGATATATAATGTGGAATAATGACTTAGGTTGCTTTATTGGTGACTAAGAAGAGCTTTAAAACCCCATTAATGAATGACAATTTGCTGAAACAAAACTTAAAATACTGCATTAACACTAACGGCCATGCAACAGTGAATACTGCTGTGTCCCTTACATGTTTACGCCAACAAGAAGTTGCAAGTGGAAACAATGTAATATGTCTATACCAGAAATAAACGACCTTATAACACCAAAATGTTGTTTTTTATTTAATTAGACACTCAACGTTTCGCTTTACAGCTTCTTCAGGAGCGTTCACTAAAATAGAAACCAAAACTGACGGTACAAAGCAAAGAAACAGGTGGTTCCCATTTCACTCAAGGTCAGAGGTTATAGTACAATTGCCTAACTTTATTTTTTTTATTTTAGAGTAAAGCCACATTGGGCTATCTATCTGCTGTGTCCATCGTAGGGAATTGAACTCCATATTTTAGCGTTTGAAGTCCGTTATCGAAAGCTTCATATTATTCTTCCAAATATACATAACGTGTCACGCAAACATACAATCATTAATTTCAAGCTGTATTTAAACATTCTGTACAGGTATATAAAATAACAACAGAGTTATTATAGGACGCAAACACTTCTGGCACGCGAAATAAACGTTATTTTAAGATTAAAAAACGTATTAACATAAGTGGTAAAGTGGATACAAAATAACATTGTTTATTATCACTTTTAACGGTAGTGTTTGGTAATTAAAAATACACATTATAAAAACCCACGTCTATATATTCAATTTTGTTCAAACGTGCCCTCTACGTATTATTATCATTCTTACTCAACAATTAATTCTGGATGGCCATAACAATAACATTATACACTATACTGTATAGAGCACACAAACATTTTCAAGCGATAGATTGATTTGTTTGTTTTGGGAATTTCATGCAAAGTTACTCGAAGGCTATCTAAGCTAGTCTTCTCTTATTTAGAATTAATACACTAGAGGGAAGGCAGTTGGTTAACACCACCCACCGTCAACTCTTGGGTTACTCTTTACCAAGGAACAGTGGGATTGACCGTCACATTATGACGCCTCACGGCTGAAAGGACGAGCATGTTCGGTAACGAGATTCGAACTCGCGACCAGCAGATTACGAGTCGAGTGCCCATCAAGCCATGACAGGCACGATAGAATGAATTGGTAAGGTATTCAGGTACACTGACTTTCTAAAGGTAAGCTGCAAGTAATCCACAGTAAATAACGAAGTCAGGATACATTTTGCAAAAAAATAAATCGAATATAACAGCGAAGTAAAAGATTGAAGTACATGTGTAAAACAAAAGAATAACGAAAACACTGATTGGTTGTTGAAGTTTGGACAAAAAAAGTATACAAGAGAAAAACACTGGATCGATATTCATGGAATTCTGCAGTAAATCAAAATCAAAGTCCCTAGTGTGATATCCCACAATCCTAGATTACCTACGTGAACGCTCATTTTTTATTACGCATTCAAGAGAAATAATTCCCCAACTCATATTAACTTGTATACAAGTTTGTAACACCCCTTGAATACGACCCCCCATCCTAGGGGAGCATGATAGAGAAACAGTCAAGCAAATATTAGCAATTTACCGTGTGACCATTGTGGTACGTAACCTTTGTCTAAGTTTATAGTCTTCCCATCCTGTTTACGTGAACTTCAAGCATGCAGAACATCTAGACGAAATTTTGAAATATGTACCTGTATAAAGCCATATCATTTTCTAGTTATGGAAAGGTGAAATATGGCAGTTCTTTCGTCCGTAACAACAGGACATCTATGAACAGTACGTAATCTGTAGTTTAGCTATAGGACATTTACAGTCTGTAGTTTAAATATATAACAGTTACAGTCTGTAGTTTAGTTATGTGACAGTCAACAATGGAAAAGCACAAAAGAACAACACACGTTTATCGTTTTTCCCTGAAATGCAAGCTAACTGGAAAATGTTATGAAATAATTACAACGTTTTGGCAATAAATAAAGAAGAAGCCAAGTTTTTCATATTGTATAATTAATTTCAATATATCCTTATATGCTACATATCTTACAGAAATTCAAATTATTACAGGCTAACAGCTGGCAACCAGGTGTACATTATGCACACTTGAACGTAAAGCGATGAGAGAGAGAGAGCAGCTTTTAATGCAGGAAGTTTACACAAAATGGATGATTACCTCGACCATGCTCGATCTATAGAAGCATGCAACTTTCCTCTTTCTACTTATATAACTAATACACCATGAGAAGTTTCGTTGTTGTATAGCAACTTAATAGTTTCAATGACGATACTGTCCTCTAGTGGGCAGACATGGAATTACTATACACTGGCAACAAACAAAACTTTGCTGTTCTTGAAAGTTGTCAGGCCTGAGAAGTGTATGTTCGTAAACCACAGCATTTAGAGTGCACAAAGAACCCCAGTCTAACATACACCTGGTTTAATACGTCCCATATTCATTACTCGTATAAATAACAGTACTAATGTAAGGTGAAT